TAGTTGTAGGTTTGTTAATAGCGAGATCAATAGCATTAGTCTAGTAGTTATTAAAATATTTTAATTTTTTTAAAAAATTTATATATTTATAAAAAATTTAATTTTTTAATAACTATTAGATTAATATTACTAATTTACTAAAAAATATCTTTATTAATTTATTTTACTTAATTAATTAATTTTATTTTGGCTTATTATAAAAAATTCTTCTTGAGTTTGTTATAGTTGTTTAACTAATTTGATTTAGTAAAAATTGTAACTAGTTTTGTAAAAAAACAAATTAATAAATATATTTAATTTAAATATAATTTTTTATCAAAGGTAGTTAAAACTTTTACTAAAATTCAATATATATTTATATCAAAATTAAGAAAAAATCTAAACAGTGTCTCTGTGCACTTAGTATCCCATAGCAAAATTGAGCCTACAATATAATTAGGTTAGATTAAGGTTAGAATTAGAGTTAGGTTTAGAGTTAAGATAAGGTAAAATTGCAAGAGAAACATTTTTGCTTATGTTATATAACAGGGTTATCTAGTCAAAATTTTGAGATATTTAGCAATTTTATAATAGAAGACACTGAGTATACAGAGCATTGATTAGTTCTATTTCAAAATTAATTGTATTTTTATTTTAAATAATTATAGCTTTAAATATAATTTTATTAAATTCATTGCAATAATTAATTAAATACAAATTTTAATTAAATTTAATTGTAATTATTATAATTTAAAAGAATAATAATATTTTAAAATTTTATTTTTAAAATTTATCAAAAAAAATTTTTATCAACTTTTATTATACTCTGTATTTTTGTTTTAGTCTTTAACCTTTACTCTAATTTTAATATTAAAAAAAGTTAATTTTTGTTTTAAAAAAATTATTAAATTTTAATTACATATTGAAATGATTAATAAAAATTACCTGTAAAGTTAACCAATTGCTTATTATATTGTATATAATATTTGTATTAATAGACTAGAATAAGCAATTTACTACTTTAACGGGGTTAGTTTGACCAAAGGTTCTTTGACTATCGACTTGTAAATTTTTGGCCAGCCGATAATTTGATCAACCCTGGTTATAATGAATATCCGTCATATCATTATATAGCAGTATATTGCATTATAATAAAATTAATAAATTAACTAATAAATTAATAAATTAATAAATTAGTAAACCTTTAGATTGTTCTAAGAGAAGTACACAGCTATAGCGAGAAATCAGCTTAAAGAAATCCACAATAACAAGGGTGAGCTGTAATAACAACAAAATATTAAAAAATACAATATAGTACGTATTAAAATAACAAGAAAAATCAAATAAATCAATAGTTAAGCAACACGAAAAAAAACAATATCAAAGCAAATAATATTAAAATAAACAATAATAACGAATAATAACGTTGGTAACAAGAAGAAAGACTAAAACAAATAACAAGAAATGCTTTAATAGCTATAAAGCAAATCAAAAAATCAAATAGTAAGTATATATAAATTAATTACATATAATATTTCTAATTTAAATTGTATGATTTATATATACAAAAAACGCCGCGTAATTTATTTTATTTTACTTTAAAAATATATTTTATAAAAAAAAATACAGTATATTACAGTAGTAATTAAAAAAAATGCAAGTCAAATTGGTATATACTGTATATTAAAGCAGATTTGTATTATTACTGTATAAAATATACTGTATAAAGTTGTTGCTAAAGAGTATTTGCGATAAATTTTAAAAAGGAATACAAAGAAAATATATCTTATTACTAAGAGGATATTGAATCTTAATATAGTATTATAAAGAAATAGTAAACTAACCATACAAATTTTAATTACTATATAAATCAAACCTTTAAAATAAATAGTTTACGTATTTGCGGCTAATAAGAACTTTACAAACAAAGATATATACATATGCCTGAACATGAATAAAATATAAAAAAAGACATATACAGTATAATAAATTTTATAATGTTGGTAAGTTGTCATATACTTTGACTCATATTTGATCCTGATGATATCTGAAAATATTTTTAGCTAATCAAATCGCAGGATCTTGTGTAACAAACCGAAAATAATAGCGTTGAACAAAGTGTCTAGAATTTTTTTAGACATCCTATATACGTACAGTTTATATGCAACATATATGCATGATGCACAAATTTCAACCACAAGATTTCAAAAGATTTCTAGATTCTTTTTTTCAAATATCACATCAGGTGAGAATAATTATTAATTAGACCAAATTGTTAATTGTTATACGTTGTTCATAAGTTACCAAAATTAAAGTTCTTAAGGACGGACAGATATGATACACAAAAAAATTTTAAAAAGGGAATAAACCATTTAAGCCCTTGCGCGGGAAAAAATTTACAGCCGATATGCTGCTACACGGACACGAGTCAAGTAAATTAACAAAATTTAAATTTTTGTTACATAAAGATAAATCTATTACTGCGCATAATGAGGAAGGTTTCTTTTATTGATTGCTAAATAAAAAGAGCTACGATAACATGTATGTACGTATGTACATATGTACATATCGGAAATGCAATTTAAGAAATCGTAGGTAAATGTTATTATATTTAGGTAATAAAAAAGGGGGCTTAAAAATACAATTGATGTGATTAATATTACATTATCTACAAAGTGCAGTATTTTGTAACAGGTAAAAACTTAAAACAAACCATAGGTATTGCCATTGTTATTATATAGTCAATTGGATGCATTTACGGAATAAAATCACCGTCTTTGTTTCGATAAAAAAGTACATGATGGTGTAAAAAATTAGCATGATGGAACGTGGAATTACATTAAGGCGTTATTCTGGAACGTATTTAGATAATTAGATAATTAGATTATCGGAAACCATATTCCGTAAACTTTATAGAAACAAGTATCAAATCAGATCGATTAAAATCTATTAAATAAATTAATGACATAACATATAACATAATATATCACCAGTATACCTATACCCTAGGATCTGGAAATCATTCGAATAATTAGGATGGCAATGATGGTAATGATGATAGAATGAGTTGATTACTATTTTATGCGTCATAATACATACACCAAATACCCTAATACATGCATCACAATAAGTTCCCATTAAGTAAACGTAAAAAAAAACGGAGATTATTATTATTGTTATTCTTTATCAAAAAAGTTTTGAGACATAAAACTTAATAGGTAAACACCACGGGGTTGACTTTTATCCGTTAATTTGTTATTTGTTTATTCATACAAAAAGTAATCATAGTTATCTCAAGTTGGACAAAAAACCGCGATCTTAATGAAGCAAAGGAATGATGTTTTTAAGGTATCAACATAGCATATAATTATATTTACAGTATTGAACGACAAAATTTGGAGAAGTGTGGTCATACATGAAACAAAAATAAATAAATAAGCCTGTTTTCGGCCGAAAAGAAATGTTGTGTAAGTGAACTATTTACAATTATTCGTAAGTTGAAGTTTGATATGAATATCTTGCAAAAAAAAAAAAAACCAAAAAAAAACCACTTTAAAATCGAAAACAAGTTTAATAAAGTAAAAATAATTATAGCCAACAAAAGAAGCCCCAAAAGAAGCCCCCCAAAAAAGAATTGTTTAGAATATATTTATTTCCAAATTAATTTCGTTTTCTGAATAAAAAGGTAATGGAAAAGAACTGAAGATCATCATTACGCATTTATAACAAGATTCCAAATTACAGCCAACAGAGCTTCATAAAAAAATTAAAGTTTTTTAATGAGATAAAATTTATGTCATGCGTATTTGTGGAGTTCATGACAGCCTTACAACTTATTGCGATTAGGGGATCAAAAACATTGAAAAAAAGGTATTTTATTGATAGAACTATTCTTAAACAAAAAGAGATTTATCTTAAATTGCAAAAAAGTTGGTCAAAAAAAACGCGGTAGTGTATAATTTGGTATAGTGATCTGCAGTGCACAGAGTACAAAAGCCATCTCATTGTTAAATTGCCTAATGCAGAATAGATGTTACATAGTTTATCCAGTTATGGATTGTTGACGCGTTTAACAAATCAAAATTTGATCATCGTAAATAGATTTTTTAAACTTAATAAAAATCAACATAGCATAAGACATTAAAAATTTTGTCGATGAATTAGCCTTATTAAACATTAATTTTACTAGTAAAAATATACACACAAAGCATATTATACATAAATCCAATACAATAACCCATATTTTTTTCTAATTATTTCATGTAAATGACTTTCCATACTAGAGATTGGACCTGTTGAGAAAATCTCTACCCGGGTATTATTAAATTACCCGGGTTATCCGGTAAATTATTATATACTAACAAATAAAGGGGATTCTTTGGCCATCCTCTATGGTAAGATACATTTCTCGTAATCCTTCAAAGAAAATAAAATTATGGTTTATACACTTGAAAAAAAATAATACATCAAAAAAAAATAAATAAATAAATAAATAAAATTACTACATACTGTTATTACCCTCGTATTCTTCTGTAGGAACAACAGGGGAAAGAGGGTGGTATGGAATTATTGCATATGGGTGTGATGGTAGATAATAGGTCGACGGAGAATAAGGCGACGGAGAAATTGGGGGGGACGGATAAGGAGAATGAGATGGCTTTTCCTGCTTACGCAATTCCTTCATTTTATTATTACGCGGCACCCACGATTTGAAAATAGTTCTTTTTTGGGGCCGGAAACGATAATCTAAGATATAATAAAAGTTAGATTTTATATATTAACAGATTATAATCTATTTTTTAGTTAAAATTATTGTATTCACTTACTAGGATAATGAAGGTTGTGAAGGACAAGTGCCTCCCGACTAAGTTCGGTATATCGCGATCTTACGAAGGGAGGTGCTGACTCCCAGATTTGCGATGCCAATTTGCAGATGGAAGGCATCGTGAAGCGCTTGCCTCTCTCTCGGAGGGCCTAAAGAAAAATCATAAATATTAGATTAATATAAATGTTTTTTAGATTAAATATCTTGAAAAAAATAAATATTTGACTTTGACTTACGAGCATAATTGCATTCTTCAACAGGAAAAAGCAGTTCGGTGGTCTTGGTGGATTTTTGCGCGCAGGGGACGAGGAGTCCCGGGTTGAAACCAGTTGTGTCAGTGGGAATTGCGCGTTATAAATCGTGCTTAAAGTGTGCACGTCGAGGATTTCTTCGTCTGTTATATTCTGCATCTTTTAAAAAACTGGATCTGTTTAATTATTGGGGATAAAAACTATACTTATTTTTTGCAAGTGATACAATTATTTATATAAATTGCAAGATTAAGTATAATATAGGATTAAAGAGAGAAAGGAGAAAAGGCCTTTTCTATTTTTTGAAATTGTTGAATGATTGAATAGGTGAGTAAGAAGAGTATTTAAACGGGAGAATAGATCGTATTTATACACAAAAACTTTGCAAAAGATTATTTATTTACTTTCAATAAGCATTATGTCGCTTGATATATGCATTGTACATTGATCGTAACACACACAAATATGCAATATTTTATGAGTTATTTTAAAACCAGATATTATCCTGACGATAATTGTGTACAAAGGAAATAATTATATTAACAAAACTGTGCATAAAGAACGATAAGAAAGATTAATAGAATTTATCGATCACATATTATAGTTCTTTTCCAGCAATCTATTTTGTGACATTCCGTTGTTGAATTAAAAGAGAAACGGGTAATGACAAATTCTGATTAATAGAGAAAATTTCAGGAAATCGATTTATCACTTATTCACTTGCTGAATTTTATAGTTGTGACATGTGCAATTTGTAACCTTTTTTAGTTAGTCAGTTATGTTGATTATAGGTTGACAAAATTAAAAATTCAATAAAAAAATAAAGCCACTAAAAAAAAAAAAAAAAATACTCATTTGCGCATTTACGCATTTACGCATTTACATGGTCTATATCCATTTCCTAAATTGTTCTTGTGTAACACGTTTAGAAACTCGGATCATCTCTCCGATCCCTGAATATTCCGTATTTGTCAGCATAAAAAAGAGCTTTCGTCATGACCAAAATTTCATTTTGCGTATTTTTGCCTAAAGGTCGGAAAATGGTTTTCATAATAAACTTTTTAGATAGCTTAAGCATCTCGGTTTTCTCCATTGATGTGTTACACAAAGATCCCCGAAGTTTATTGGCTCCGAGCCCTATGTTACTGATGTTACTGCATGTAACTATTTACCAATTTAGTAACACTAATGACACTAATTATATTATGCTATGTTAATTATTAAATGCGTCGTATTCGGAAATTTATAGAAAAGCAAAAGTTGACATTTTTGGTATTATTCCAAATTCAGCAAAGCCTCGTCCGATCTCATGAAGAAAATGAGCGAACATATATCTCTTTAAAGGGCATTTATTTCACATAATATGTTTTTGAAAACCGCAATAAATTTTTATTCCTTTTCTGGGTCGAATGTGATTTTTATTATAACCTAGAAATGATAGTGATATTCCCTTACTTGTTACTCAAAAATATCGTACGATTTTCAATATTTCAAAGATACCCGTTTTTTTTTTTTCTGAGGCTAAAAAAGAGTTATGTAAGCCAATAATATGTAATCATAAAAAATTTCCGGTTCGTTGTTCATCCGGAACAATACTTGATTATTCAAACCAAGCCCTCAAACCATTACCCTTAAACAAATGCATTTTCATTTTTATTGGAACGTTAGGTCTTGTGAACGAACGAATCGATTTTAGTAAATTAACTGTTGTTGTACAATGAATTTTTGTCCTTCATCTAAAGTAAACACTAATTCCTTCTTTGGAGCTGAGAATGTTTGCAATCCTGAATCTATTATTAATTATTCAGGACAATAAAAGATTTGCTTATTCGTCTCAAATATCTTTTATGCAGCAATAGAAATTCTATTTTTCATAGCATATATGGATGGCATTTAGGATGATCTCTGATACAACAAACAAGCATTCATGTGCTTAATTCTATAGCATAGTATATATGCAAATAATGCAATAGCATTTCAATAGAAACATGTGTTTCATTTGGGTGTCTAATAAAAATTTTGATATTTAACTAAATCTGTTAAAGATACGCATTATATAATGTAACCCTATTGACAACTTTATTAATTCATATTTTACCATTTTTTATTCGTTCAATATTATATACTTTGATTATTCTTTTTATCTAGGTGCGGATAAACAGGAAAATCCAACTTTGTGATACATATTTACATATTAAATTCATGGTTGGATAGTAAATATAGTAAAATGAAATCATCTTTAAACTAGTAAATATAATGATGATATATTTGCGAGTGGATCATTGTTGCGCAAACGGAGAAAAAATATATTAAATATTCCCGAGTTCCGACGAGTAAAGGTATGGAATTTTGACCACTGTTTTATTATTATCACAAATAAACAAATACTTTGTCGATGGAATTTGAAGTCCGGTAACTAGTATTCTCCTAGTATTCTCCTTATTCTGCTTAGCTTCTTACTCTTTTTTTTTTTTTTTTTTTTTTTTTTTTTTAGATTACTTGTTAAACGAGGGACAAACGATTGCCTGATGCAGGTGTTATAAATCATATGATACAATTAATTTACACGACATGCAAATGAATCTCGATT